CTTTCCTGTAGCTCCTCTTCAGATACTGAAAGGCTGTTATCAGGTCTCCCTAGAGTCTTCTCCAGGCTGCCTAGCTCTCTCAGCCTGTCCACATAGGGGAGGGGTTCCATCCCTTGAATCATTTTTGTGGCCCTCTTCTGGGTTTGTTCCAACAGGTCTTTGTCTCTCATGGACTGATGATTCCATACCTGGATGCAGGTCTCCAGGTGTGATCTCTCTAGTGCAGAGTAGAGGTGCAGGATCACTACCCTTGCGCTGCTGGCCACACTTCTTTTAGTGTAGCTCAGGATACATTTGGCTTTCTGGGGTGTGAGGGCACACTACTGGCTACTGTCCAGCTTGCCATCCACCAGTGCTTCCAGGCCCTTTTTGGTGGGGCTGTGCTCAATCTTTTTGTCTCACTCCAATTTAAAGGAAAGAGAGGAGGTTCTTTTAATATATGTATACCCAACGGCGAGATTAAGACACAACAGGTCATATGTTAGCTAGACCAGTTTATTACAAATCCTAATTGCTTAAGGATATGGGGAAGGGAAGATGGGCGATAGAAAGGAGATAAGAACAAGGAGTTTTTGCAGAGAGCAAGAGAGAGAGAAGATAGTCACCATCGTGAGTCCAGCTTGGTTTGTAGTCATTTGTGGATCTCAGGAACTCATCCAGTCACTGTGGGGGATGGGAAAGAGCCAAGAAGCTTTGCAGCAGGCAGGCCCTGGGGGATCTCTTCTGAACAGGTTTCTCTCCTCTTTGCCAGTTCTTCTCCAAAGTCCTTAGTTTAGTGATAGCCTTTTATCCCCCATTTCTCAGTTACTCAGTTACTCTCTGTTAGTGTGACAGACCTGGCCAAACAGATAAGCCGGCAGGGAGCGGTGCCTTCATTGCCATGCACAAGCATTATCGCCTTTTGCACTGGTCAGATCCTTCAAGCCGCAACCCCGAAAAAGACTGCCCCACTTCTGCTTATCTTTATAATCAGAAGTACTGTGGCACAGTGATACCCATCACTCACCCCCCTATAGATAATCTGAAAGAGTCAGTTAGACTCTTATCACCAGAAGGGCCTTACAAAGTAAGGCAGTTTTTTTGAGACAGAAAAGAGAAACAGTTTTGTCTTTCACACCTTTTCATCCCCCAGTAGAAGTGTACAGTGACTCTGAGGTAGAGCAACACATCACACTGTATGGGCTTAATGCTTAAATGCATTGCTGGCACCAAACTGGCAGCCAGATGTGAAGATTAAATGAACTCAGTCACCAGTGCACTATGATCACCACCCCTGGCTCAACTTGAGGCCATTACCCCTTCTCCTATGGCTAGTTAGGTGGAAGAAGATGTCAACCCCCATCTCAGTACCACCTCCTTTCAGGTAGTTGTAGAGGGCAGTAAGGTCTCTCCTGAGCCTCCTCTTCTCTAGACTAAACCCAGTTCTCTCAGCTGTTCCTAGTAAGACTTGTGCTCCAGACCCTTTACCAACTTCACTGCCCTTCTTTGGATATGCTCCAGGACCTCAATGTCTTTCTTGTACTTCAGTCTTCAAAACTGAACACAGTGCTTGAGCTGCACCCTTACCAGTGCCAAGTACATATTGATGAGATGACAAAATTTGAAGTTTGTCAGGTCAGTGTAGTAATGCCTATCCCCAAAGGCCATGGGATTCCCAGAGGTATCTTTCAGTTCTCTGTTGGAGTTCTCTCCCACAAAGCTCTGGATTTACTCTCGTGTCCCTTTAATGTCTTATGTATTATTACGTGGACACTGCCACTTATAGGACTGGGTTCAAAGTACCTGATTCTTGACTACTCCAGGATCCTTCAGCATCCTTCAGTACCTAACAACAGACTGTCACCTGGCACTGACACTTGTGATCTCCCATCTCACTGCTTCTCCACAGTAACTGATGACTGACTTACAATCTGGGTATCCTCTGTTCTTGTCACAAAGCTGTTATCTTTTTCTGCACTAATGTCAACTAGACACGCTCCCTGACAAGTGCTGCAAAGACAGGAATGTATGATATTCACTCTTAGATTGAAGAACTCCAATCTGATATTTCAAGCATCTTGAATTACAGTTGTAGTGATCAAGTACTGTGTCTGAGATGTGGCATAGTAACTAACGTAGATGTGGCAATATGGAACAGATTCTTGCAGTCAAAATGACATCTAGCTATAGTCAGCACTCTTCCTCCCTTTCAGTGATTGACGTGTTTGTACACTCTAACTGGGAAAACAGCATGTAATTACAAGTAAAGCTAAAGGATGGTAGGAAATAATGCATTTTAGTTCTTTTTGATTGTTCACTTTTTCTTCCTAATGGAGAGGCAAAATAGTACTTTTTTTCTAAATAATTTCAATACAAAAAAAAAAAAAAAGTTTTTGCTAATAGTCACTTTGCTTTCTATGTAGTAAGAATATTTCTTTACAAAAATCTTTGGCTTTAGGATTTGGAAGATCATCTGCAAGGGGATTAAATGCAACCTGAAACTCATGGTTTCCCGTAACAGCCAGTTTCATTGCTTTTCTTCTAAAAATTTCAAACTCACCCAGATTTTTATCTTATTCGCAGTGGCTTGATGCTGAGCAAGAACTGAGAAAAACATGAATTGTTCAATTTAGAAAATGGTTACATTGTATAAATAAAACTTCAGCAAAATGTTAAAGCTAAAATGTTCATTCAATTGGGAATGTTGTTACGACAATTTTTTTGTTTTGTTAACCCCCAATAACACTCACTATCCCATTGTGCTGTGCTGTGACTCTCTTCAAAAGATATGAAGATCAGTGCCATATATGTTATTTCCATAGATAATTGTAAGCATATTTATATAAAATATAAATTCCCTTTTTGCCTTTATTTGCAAAAATAGTTTTCTAACTCTCTAACTCAGTTTATTTACAATGTGGAGAAATTTAGTTTTGTGCACCTACAAGTCACTTTAAAAAATGATTGCATGGGAAAACAGAATTTTTTTCCTGGTCTGTATTACTGGAAGTTAACTGTTCTTGTTAATATTGTTCAGTTAAAATAGATTGATATGTGAATTGTGATGTTGTTCTTCAAATTAAATAATTCTATTTTGGATTTTATGTTGCATTTTCTATAAATGTGCACAAAAAAGGAATGGAATTTGCTCTTTCACAGTAAATGCATTTATCCTGAGGACACCCATTTTTAATCAGAATTTTAAGCTCTTATTTAATTAGGACTTTTAACATTTCAGTAGTCATCTGTGAAGTCTGATTTCTTTCTGCATTTAACTTTTGCCAGGTGTGCTGTAAAGAAGTATAGAGGTCAGACATCATAATGACTTTGAGAGCTTATTGATTTGCTTAAGACAAGTTTCATCGTTAGTTTTCAGTCAGGATATTTCAAAAGCAGTACAATCTCCGATGTACTATAGACATGGGTCACAAAGTTTAAGCCAGTGTTGTTCTCAGCTGGCAAGGTCCTATCTCAGCTTGTCCCTTACCCATACCAAATTTATATGCCTATTTCCTGCGCAAATTAATTTGCATGCACAGTCAGGAGGAGGGACTGCAGAAACCTGGCTTTAAATCAGGTTAAACTACTTTGGAACACAGCCGTGAAAGGAAGGTCTGTTATTGCAGCTGGTTCAGTAGTCAAGCAAGGAGAATATTGAAGTTTCTAATGAGCTTTTTAGGTTTAGTTGTGCAATAACAAGTTCTTCCTCCTATGAATTAGTATGCCCGCGAGTCATTACATTTTCAGTAATGGTTTTGTTTCAGAAAATATTGTAGGTCTTTGTAGGTTTTGTTTTTTTTTTTTGGCGGGCGTTCTTTGTTTGGAGGAGATTAAATGACACTTTCTTCCCAGCTACCCATCTGTACTTATACAGTTAAGCTAAAAAAAATCACATATTGGTATTCTGAATATTTGCAGACTTTTCATAGGAACTTATTTTGGTGTGGATTATAATACTACTGATCTTTAGTGATACTGGTCCTCAATTTGACAAAATATGCTGGTACTAATATAGATGAATAGGGATTAAGACAAGTCAGATTTTTGGATAGCATTTAGGTTAGAGACTACTATTGTGTTCACTGTAATCCTTCACAGAAGTACACAGGCTTCTGTTTTGAAACTATTAGGCAATGAAGTAACTGCCTCATCTGGTTCTTATTTATACTGATTAATAACCCACTGCAGTTATTATTATTTTTTTAATCTACTTCCTAATTTTCATTTAATGTTGATTTGCCTTCCAGTCCATTGTATTGCTGCTTCTGCCACGCAAAATTGAGAAATCCTGTAGTTCCCTGTATATTCCCTGTAGAGCAAAAGTCTTCCTCAGTTGTCTTTTTGATAATGTTTTCTTTTTAGGGCATTTTCTTTGTCTCTCTTAACTTTTTTATGTTGAATCCAGATTCCATTTGTTCCTTTTCAAATGTCAGTGTCAAAATTCTTGTTGCTCTTCTACTACTTACCTACTTCTGTATGGTTTTGTTGGCAATGAGTTCTTTCTTCTCATAATTACAACTACACAGGTTGATGTAATGCTTTCTACGGAAGGTTATTTGAGTTCTTTTTCGCTGTGACTCTATGTGCTTTTTAGAGTCTTTCCAGATTATATCCCTTCATTCTGTAGTCTGTTGGTTTAGCTTTGAATTTCATATAGACTTTTTAATAAAATTTAGGAAGACAGAAAAGGAAAAGATCTGAATGTTGACCGGTTATCTACAAGTGTGGGGAAGACAATGCTTACTGCTGAGTTGTCCCCAAAGTGACAAAATTCAGATACCTAAGTGAGATGTTTCTATGTATGTAAATAAAAGAATGTAAGGTAATACTAAGATTAAAAAAACTAGCATTTGCAGTATGCTAGTATGAGAAAAGCCTTTTAGCGAACACCAACATTGATACTAGCTGATTGTATGGTCCAAATAGGGTAACAAAACCCCCAAGTTGCTGTGCTATAAGTGCCAAAATAATAAAATAAATAGATGCACTAATCTTACAATTTTGCTTTTACTTTTACTCAGAGATCACGATGCAGACATCAGAAGCTGGGTCGGATACAGGTTCAACTGTGACTTTACAGACATCTGTGGCTGGCCAGGCAGCAGTGCCCACGCAGGTAGTACAGCAAGTACCAGTTCAGCAACAGGTAGGTGGCTGTGAGCTTTGGGAAGATTGAAAAAAAATCAGGAGGGGTAGTTCTTCACAGTGTAGTGTAGAACATGATATTGTAGGCTGCTAAATGAACTGTTTTGCTCCGCTTTAATGATTTTATTTTGCTGAAATTAAAATAGCTACCTAGGAAGGCAAGCTGTTTCCTGAGTCTGTTCTTTATGCTAATGCATCCAAAAAGCACTAGTAATACTCCATGTGATTCTGGCAGTAGATTATTGTATGCTTCATGGAGTAACTCACAGAAATTAAATTTATATTACTGAATATTTACACTTATGTCTTTACATAATATATTTATGATGCTGCTTCTTGTATGATTTCTTCTTTAATTCTCAGTTCCAAGCAAGTGCAATATAAATGTAAAAAATGCATCTCTAGGCTTGATTCACTGCAGATCTTTACACATTGTCATACCTCACACCTTGTATCATAAAAAACTGTTTTCTTCTATCCGACCTAAGTCTCCCCTTTTTCAGTTTGAAACCATTTCTCTTTGTCTTATCACAACAGACCTTGCGAAAGAATCTGTCCTCCTCTTTCTTGTTGCTCCCCATAGATACTGAAGGGCTATTACCAAGTCTACCTGGAGCCTTCTCCAGGCTGAACAGCCCCAGCTCTCTCAGCCCTGTCCTCTTAGGGGAGGGGTTCCATCCCTCGAATCATTTTTGTGGCCCTCTTCTGGGTGTGTTCCAACAGGTCTTTGTCGCTCATGGACTGGTGATTCCACACCTGGATGCAGATCTCCAGGTGTGATCTCACCAGCACAGAATAGAGATAAAGGATCACCTCCCTTGCCCTGCTGGCCATGCTTCTTTTAGTGTAGCTCAAGACACATTTGGCTTTCTGGGGTGTGAGGGCACATTGCTGGCTGGTGTCCAGCTTGCCATTCACCAGTGCCCCCAGGCCCTTTTTGGTGGGGCTGTGGTCCATCCTTACATCCCCCAGCTTGTACTGATAGTGGGAGTTGCTACAACCCAGGTGCAAGACCCTGCACATTGTTGAACCTCATGAGCTTCACCGGGGCCCACTGCTAAAGCCTATCTAGGTCTGGATGGCATCCCATCTGTCAGACATGTCAACCACACCACACAGTTTGGTATCATCTGCAAACTTGCTGAAGGTACAGTCAATCCCCCTGTCGATGTCATTGATGAATTTAATAAAGGGAATTGGTACTGACTCCTGAGGACACCGCTCTTCAAATAACGCTATATATATCTGTGCTGTTTTAGCAAATATAAAATTTTGGCTCAGAATAAGAGGCAACTGCATAAGGATGGAATAAGAGCATTTCCCCTCTACAGCTGTATTTAAGCCTCATGTCCTTTGAGCAAAAGAGTACCTCCTGATATTTTCAGCTAAAACAAATCCCTAATTTTCACATAGCTAGTACAAATATGGATCTCATAAAACTCTACTATGGAACTCCAAAATGGAAAAAAATACAAATTCAGTTACTGAAAATCTCAGATTAGATTTTACTCAATACTGCAGTGGTGGTAGTTGGTTTTGTGCAGCACGGAAACAGTCACTGTTGAAGTATGATGGAGGAGATTGGTGACAGGACAAAAATGTATACATGTAAGCAAACAGCATCAAGAGAAGACCAAACTGTTGAGAGTGTAATTGAATTGTCTTAATAGTTGGAGGAATTTTCTCAGTTTGCTTCCTCAAATATGGGGATTTTTCATTAACATATCACTGCTTTTTCAACACGCACTTCACATCTAAAGTTGAACAAAGCAGTTATTGTAGTCAACATTCACTGTGGCCATCACCTCATGAAGTAACTGTTTCGTTAAACTGGAGATGCAGACTTGTGCTAATCAAAATTAGTCTTAAAGCAAAATCATGCTCAGCATAAGAGAACCATAATCATAGGCTCACGTAAAGCATTACATACCTATGAATGTGCTTAGAATATTACAGCATATGCTATTTATATTTTGTTTGCCAAAAGAATTCCAGACCAGTGAGAGTACAAAAATTATTTTTATAGCTAAGGATAGAAAATAATGCATATGTAAGTATTTGCACAGGCACTGTGAATATGGTCTCTTTAAAATGAGGTTTAAAATTCTTCACATATTTCACTCTGATTTTCTACTCTTTGTTTACTAGTGCTTTGAACATCTGCACTTTATCAAAATTCTCTCTTGAATTTCCTTTACTCTTAAAAGTATTTTCTGCATTTCACTATGCTTTTGTTCACTTTCATTTGTTGTCAAATTCTTGTCAAATTTGTTGTCAAATGTAGATTTTACATAGTCACTCATTGTTCCTTTCAGAATTCACAGTTAAGAATATAATTTATTTTTCTGCAACTAGTGATTATAATTGCATGTTCATATTGTAATAAGTTTTCTTTTTTTTTTTTTTTTTTTTTTTTTTTCGTTCTCTTGGACCATTTCAGCTGCTCACTTCTAATCCCATTCCAGTCATTTCAGGCTAGAATCACTGAAGCAAGGGGAATGAAAGGTCTGCTGTTTGACCTTATTTAACCCATTATTTCCTATGTCAGGCAGTTAATATTCTCTTCTCTAGCTGGACAGTAACATCAATTCCCATGAGTAGATCACTAGTCTACCCCAAGAACATACAATTATTAAAGTTGCGTATGATACTTGGTAATAAATATTTCACAGCTCTTTCTTTGTTTTGAATCGCTCTGTCATTCTTGTTTTCTGCACTTAATAAAATGTGCAAGAAAAATGATAAATAGAATTATTTGTTTGTTTATTTATTTATTTAATTATTGCAGTTTATATTAACAGTGATGGTTTTTTTCCTGTGATGTTTTGTTTCCCCCTAGGTCAATTCTCCTAAAATACTTTTATACCCATGGAGAATATATACGTGTATATATATATACAAATATATATGTATGCACTTGATTTCTTCCCTCCTCAAAGATGAAAGAAAAAATAATAATAATCCAAAGGCAGTTAAATTAATTTAACTTTCCTGGAAATTTTTTTTCCCAAAATGAAGTAAAATAGGAAATAAAAATGGAATTTAGGTTATTGTATAACAACAAGTTTCAGCTCCATAGAACTTCCATACACAAATTTATTCTAAAGGTGACTTACTTGTCGTTCCTTGTCAGGAAAGGTATTTTAAAACCTTAAAAAGGTAGAGAAAGTCATAGGTATATACTCTGCAAAACAGTGTGGTCACTAAAGCTTCCTTTGGCATCAGAGTCAATCAGCTTGAGCAGTACTGAGTTTCAGAGAAACTGAAGCATCCAAGAGTATTACATTCTTATAACAAGAATATAATAGCTTGTACAGAATGGGAATATGACCTGCATTTGCTGACAGGATGTATGCAGGTTATGGGGAGGAAATAAATTCCTTTTATTAATAAAACACAGTAGTGTTGTGTTGTTTTTTTTCATAGGGAGTAAGCCACTTTCAGTGCATATGAGCAGGGAGTGAAGTGCTTTTTGGGAGAGGTTGAATGGAAACATTTTAATAATGGCATAATTTCATGTTTCCCCAGCTTTACTACTGGGACAGAAAATGGAACAAATCCATTACATAACAGGTGACAAATTACTGGCTCTATGAACAAAGCCTGCTTAAAGATATTTTCTCCATATATGGGTTAGGAAGATCAGTTCAGTGCCCTGATCACTCTTCCATTAATTACAGGCTATTGTAGAACCAGAGATACTTTTAGAGTTAGGCTTTGAAACCACTGTGATCTGTGGCACGTATGTTTCACAGTGAAGCACATAAACATTTTGCCTTAGTATTTAGAAATATTCTTACAGCCCTCTTTTTGAAGTGGAGAATTTGTATTTCATGTTTATATATATGCCAATTATGTAATTATGTAATTATATAATGATTTATGTGACAAATCAGAAAGCTGTAACTGCAAATAGATAATTTAAGTATCATACAGTGTGTCAACATTTCTATCATGCTGGTAAAGTTGGTTTCAAAACACTGTTAATTTTCTGAATTCGTATTTTAATACTGAACTAGGAAAAACTTCCTGTGAAAATTTAGATTTTCCTTTCACAATCTGAGTCAATACTGTAGTAGGCTATGAAATTTATGATTATTTTAAAACTCTTTAGATTATTGTGGAGTTAAGATATTAAAATGAAGATATTCTTAATGAGCTTTGGGAGATGATCCATCAAATGTTTGAGACTCGAATACGTCTGATTATTGCAATTCTCAGGAGCAACTGGGTCATGAAGAAGATGCTACCTAGCAAAACATCTGAGAAAATCAGCAGTCATTTAGTTTACACTAAATCTATTGCATAAACATGCACACTGTCTCTTGCTTTATTCAGTTCCTACTGCAAGGTTTGCTCGTCTATGAAGTCTTTCAGTCATTTTACTTTCTTTAGATTCTGGACTGCACCTGAGCTAAAATACAGCTTATCTCAATAACAGCTCATGTAAAATATGGATTTCTTAATCTCTGCTATAGCAGAAGACAAAAAATTAAGACTGGACAGGAAATATGCATAACCTGAAGCTGCTTTACATAGCATATGAGTCCAAGGAATTGTCCAATGATATGTTTTAACAAGGCAGACATGCTATCTTAGCAATGTAGATGAAAATAATAATATCTTATTACTTCTTTTTGTTTATCTCATTAACGTTAGAAACAGCTTACCTTGGAATGTGTTGTAGCTGCTGATATTCTGGAAGAAGAGTTACTCAGAATGAGGTTATTGATTCATTGGCATGCCTTTAAGTCAAAACATTAATCGAAAAAGCCTTTTACCACTGTAATTTAACTCCAATTAAACAGATGCGAAAATGTTTTGATCTAAACCTTTATTTCTGAATTTAGTGCAGCACACCATAGCTGTGTGTTTTTGCACGTTAAGCTGTATATTAAAATTTGTATTGTTCAGATTTAAATGGAATAAGGAAAAGCATATGTGTGGACAAAGGATACTTTTTAGTAAATATAATTCCTTGTTGCAAAGCATAATTATGCTTCATTCTATCCTTTTATGTTTTTTAGTTAGTTCTGTCTTTAGCAGTGAAGTATGCGTGTTGCATGAACGTACATTTTCAATGTTAAGATTTTTCTTACTGGATTTAAAATATAAGTATTTTGTAAAAACAATATTCTTCTGCATTATTACTATGTCACCAGCTTTAGTAATTTCGAGAACAGTGACGTCCCATATTGTTTAGAAGCCAGGAAATTCACTGAGGCTTTGTTCCTTCCTTTTATCACAGTATCTTTATTTTATGATGCTCTTGTTTTCAGGTGCAGCAAGTGCAAACTGTACAGCAAGTACAGCATGTCTACCCAACCCAGGTTCAGTATGTGGAAGGAAGCGACACAGTCTACACTAATGGAGCTATGTAAGTTGGCAAATGATTAGCATTTGAATGTTTACTAAAATGTAAAGTTAAATATATATTGTCAGTGAGATTCTTTCAACACCTGTATTTTAAGCTGGAAAGAAAAATGATTGAGTCAAAATTATCATTATTTGAAAGCTAAATTCAGTTTATTAAGATATAAGTGTTGTGTTTTAGTCGGTCTTAAATGAAATTACCTATCCAGCATGGTGCTGTTTGAAGAAGCACCTTTTAGGTCTATGAGTAAGTTTTGCTATTAACTTTATTATAGCATTACCATCTTTGTAAAAAAAAAGATCTCTTCCCATAGGCTTTCTGTCTTCTTGGGTGCAGTTCTAGTGGTAAATACATAAAATCCTGCAATGGCTGGATTTTTATTAGCAGAAGTAGTAATGTAATTTAATTCCTTTATTTAATAAAACAATAAGAATATTTTTTTCCAGAGGAATAGGAGAGGCAGAGGAAGGAGGGTAAACTATTTTGTTTTGCTGATTCTTAAGCCTTTTTTCTGGCTATTACTGTATGTTTCCTTTTCACCTAAACATGCTTTTCCACCATCAAGTTATTTTCACCAACATGCAAGTTCAGATACATAGAATTAATAATCTGTGGGACCATTGGAGGTCATCTAATTTCATCCCTGGCTTGAAGCAGGACAACATGAGACAGCAGTGTGTGCTTGAAGCCCAGAAGGTTAATTTTATCCTGGGTTGCACTGAAAGAGGGGAGGCCAGCAGGATGAGGGAGGTCATTGTCTCCCTCTTCTCTGCCCCATCTGGAGTACTGCACTCAGCCCTGGGGCCTCCAACACAGAAATGATGTGGAGGTGTTTTAATGGTCCAGATGAGGCCCATGAGGATGATCAGAGGGCTGGAGCTCCTCTCCTCGGAAGGAAAGTTGAAGGAAATGGGCTTGTTTAGCATAAAGGAGGCTCAGGGAAGATCTCATTGCTGCCTTCCAGTTCTTAAGAGATGATAATCAGAATCTGACTTTTTACACATTGTGACAGTGATAGAATAAGGAGGAATGGTTTTAAAGAGGAAAGATAAAGATCAGTTGTTAAGAAGAAATTTTTCACCCAGTGAATGGTGAGAGATTGGAACAGGTTACCCAAAGAAGCTATAGATGTCCCATCCCTTTAGGTGTTTAAGGCCAGATTGGACGGGACCTGGGCAGCCTGATCTGGTGGGTGGCAAACCTGCTCATGTCAAGGGAGTTAGAACTGGATGATCTTTAAGGTCTCCTCCTACCTAAGCCATTAAAACACGTATCTAAGAAAAATACAAGATGAGTGGGTGGCTGGGAAAAATAAGTCTTACACAAAACTATGACTGGATAAAGAGCGCTAACATACTGTTTGCATACAGGAGGCTATACATTTATATTGATGCTTCTGATACAGCTGCTAACCATTTCTTCTCTAAACTGTGCTTCAAAAATAGGTAGAAATAGGAACTTGATTCTATAATGTAGCTTATACTTCTTTAATGAGTGAATTATTTTTAAGTGATGATTGTCATGTTTCTGAAAGTGTTACCATTTGTTTTCCATGAATTAAAGATAAATATTTTCCAATACTAGCAAGCTTTCATTAAGTTAATATTTAATGTGGAAAAAGTTTTCTGAAAAAAGAATTGATGCCGACATTTCCTCTTTCCTAGATGACAAAGGGTAATTTGAAAACTAATTATGAATATTATATGGTGGACCCTTTTATGTTATGCTGAATGTCATTGCCTCAGTAAGCATCTTCCCCTGAAATTAATAAACCCTCAGAGGATGAAGTAATTATGGTCCTTCATAAGAATTTTTATAAAGAATGGATCCTCTACATTGTTGTTCCTGTTTAAACAGAAGAGTTCGAACTTCTAGAATATCCAGTTCTGGATTCTGAAGTAGTCTATGGTCTCCAGCTTGTCCCAGATATAGCACACAGGGGTTGTCAGCATTTGTTGTTCTATGTGTAGTCTGTAGCTTTCCATTTGCAACTAGTACATGCAAGCTTCTCTTGTCATTTAGCACTTGTAAGTTCTCATGTGAGCTGTTAGCAAGCGCACTTCTCGCAATGTGAGTTGGGTACTACGTGACTGCTTACAGTCCTTAATAAAAAGAGAACCAAATATTACTTGTTACTGTTAGAATAGATCTACAGTAATCCATGTTTTTTTTTGTGTTTCTCTATGTGAAAATATTTGTTAGTTTCTGTAGAACCAGTTAATGGGATATAGCACTTAGCTAGTGATCACTTAACAACAAGTTAACAAGTGAGCCTAATCCAGATTGTCTTTTCCTCATATAAAAGGAGAATTTACCAATGATAAAATTTATTTTTCAAAATTTTTAGGAACATTAACCTTTCTGGAGATTTATTTTTCCATTGAGAATGTAACTGATCTTTGTTTTTACTCAGAATTCGTAAAGGCTGTCTTGTGAAATTAATTTTCCTTTATAATTCCATACTCCAGATTAAGAATGGCAAATGTTACTTCTGTAAATGGAAGTTACTGAACTTATGCACAAAATGTTATGAAGGAACAGGGTTCTGGGTTACCACTGGCTAACTTCCTTAAGAGAATAGAGAATTGGTTTTCTATTTGCTGTTTTTATGATTACCTAAGTTACATGGTTTAAAAAATATGTACTTTTTTCTTGTTTTGCCACTGAATTTGTTTGTTTAGAGCTACATCAATGTGGGATTGACATTTTAAAACTTCTGAAAGTGAACCAAAATCTCACAACATCCCTAAACAAAGCTGACACAGCTGCGTTGAGTTCTGCTGTGACAGAAAACACAGAGGCCAACCTCTCATGCTAAAAATATTTAGGCAAGTGTTTAGACTGCAGTACTTCTTTTTCTATCCATCCTACTGAAATGTGTGAACAATAAGCTTTTTGGATTCTGACAAATTCATATAACTATGTTAAAGCCAATTTGTCAACATACTCCTACTCTGAAATGTCTGTTGCACTTTAATCAAACAGTTAGGTTTGTAGATGATGTGATTGACAGGAGTGATCACTACTTTGTCTTTTGGGTTGTTTTTCTATGATTATATATTTGATTTATTTTATGACTATGCTAAATCAAAATCTGAATTGTAACTCAAATCAGACAAAGGATATATTGCATAATCTACTCTCATGATCTCATGATCTCATGATGAAACTCATGATCTGCAACTCATAGTTAAGGTGAAAACATTAATTAAGTGTACAGTTTTACTGGAATAAAAGTTCCAGTATGTCTGATGAGTTTCCCTTTGTTACAAAATAAAGTACATATAAACTAGCATGAACCCATATACAGTAGCAACAAAGGATGCACTTTAAATATTTAGGAAGAATGCCTGAATCAGTTACCTGATTCCTTATTCTAATGGAAGGAAGTTTGTTGGGTTTCACTTAATGTTATTTGGTTTTACTGTATTTGTGGGGATAATGATGTTGCAGGGGTTGTACTGTGAAGCTTATCACATACTTGAGAATATTTGATGTTATCTACAGTTGTTTATGGTTAATAACACATTTGCTTGTCATGCACATCACTTTACCTTGAAGCTAAAATGAATTGTTGTTGCATTAATATGTGCAGGTTTGTCTGAGTAGGTATGGATAAAAAATACTGTGGTTGCGCCTGTATTAAGAAGCCAAGCAAGGCCCCTGATCTAGACAAGAACTTTTTCTTTCTTAAAATGTAGTGTTTAATAATGTACATAATGTGATTAGTCTCAAAACTGATATTTTTTCTACTAATTCTTGTGTAACAAAGAGAGTTTAGTTGTTGAGACTGCTTAAGAACTGATGCTGTTGAATCCAAACTGTAGCCTTTATTCCTCACATTATACACTAATTTATGGTACAACAATTTGTATAGCTAATGTGGACCAAACACACCTTTGATGCAAAACCAACAATTTACAGTTTCTCTAGTTGAAGTCTTTTATCTGTCTGATAGAAGGGTTATTATGAGTACAGTTCAAATTGTTCTGTTCCTGGAATCTTTCCAGTACTTGCTAGCATCTTTTCCTTTTTCTCTGATGTTATGCTTACCATTCGACTAACCCTATGCATACTCACGTCAATGGCTTCCATGTAAGGAAAAATTATAGCAAGTTATCACTGTCACAGTTCTATGCCTAGAGAGGTATGATCAATGATGGAGTTTTTCTACTTATACTAGATACTCTTGCAGCAATTCTGTATGTGTTTTCTACAGGAAAGACAGTCATTCTTCTGTGGTTTCCATTTCTGGTTTGCATCTTAATTTACCAGATATTATGTGTTTTACATTTGCTGAATACAGTCATCTCATACACATAGTGTTCTTTGCTGTATTTTGATTCTACGGTCATGGATTGTTTATTCTACACAGAACAGCTATTTTATGTTACTGCCTATTATTTAGAGAAATGCATCAGTGCTGGCATAACAATGGTTTCTATACCGCATGTTTACTAAGCTAAAATAAAACTGAAATAGGTTACATAGCGTTTCCCAGATTATAAATGTTACAGCTAAGTTAGAACAAAGGTCTAGGCCAGCATAGATACGTCCAGACAGAAGATGCCTGACAAGCCAAAGTCTTGAGGTCTAGTATATTTAGTACAAACCCTGTTCCTAATATTGGCAACACCATATTTCTTGGATTCTAGGACAGTTGTACTTCACCACCAGAATTTTTAGATGACTGCAACTAACAGCCCTTATCTTTCTAAATTACTGATCATGAGAATACCACTTGCAAGAATTCTCCAATGTTTTCACTTACTTCATTCTGTGGTTTATAGATTTTCCTACAGTTGTGCATTGTGTGCACTTTTGTGATTTTATTTTCATGCGGAAAAAGATCTTGGACTGACTGTGGAAGATCTCAATAATTGGTAATCAGCATCTGTCAGTAACATATTTACATTTTGATTGTGACTGCAAAACTATCAGTGAGTAAGAACTAATGTGAAGTTCCTTATGTTGAATAATACAACTCTATTTTAAGTAAATTT